ACGTACGTACTTTAACCAAATAAAAAAAAAATATTCCGTCAAGGTTCTTACTTGCTTTTTGTTAAGAAATCAATTAGTGTGGATCTTTAACCATACTTGGAATTATGTATGGAAATGTACATACCTTTAAAGTGGACATGTTTTTAAAGTAGTTAATGAAAACAAACTTCAAAATAAATAGACGTTTAAACCAAATCTAAAGAAACTTACAGAAAAAAAAACTCAAATTGTAATTGATTTTCCTTAAACCTTTATCGTTTAAAGAGTCCAAAAACTTTTGCTTTAACAAATGAAATCTCTTATTTGTCTTTTGACTCTATCGTCTTTGTATTTGACGGCAACGTCTTCACGTCTCTCTCATCATCGCTTAGAACATAAAACGCCGAAAGATTTCAACGAAGATATCGTAAAGACGGTAGTGGTTGGTCAGAATGGTTCATCTGATTTCAAAACCATCCAAGCAGCCATCGACTCCATTCCTTCTGGTAACGATAAATGGATTAAGATTAGTCTTCAAAACGGAATCTACAAGTAAGCTCTTCATCTTTCACTTTCTTCTTTCAGTTACATGTAATTTATGAGATGCTTTATTATAAACAAGTCAAAGAAGAATCAAGCAATTAATTAATTACTTATTTATTCTAGTTGGGTTCACTAATACATGCATATATGTATATTATGTGTGTTGATGCAGTGAAAAGATAATAATTCCTAGCGAGAAACAAAAGATTGTAATGCAGGGAAACGATGCATCAAAAGTGATAGTTCAATATAACGATGCAGGCCAATCCAATGGTAGTGGTCCGGTCATTGTTTACGCTCAATACTTCGTCGCTATCAATATTACATTCAAGGTTAGGCTTCATATATGTAGTTTGGGTTGTAGATTGATTAAAGTACGAATTAATATGTATGATATTCTAACACAGTCAAACTATTATTTTGTTTCCTCTATAACTAGATTTTATTTTGAATGTCTAAAGCCTGTTAATAATGAAAGAGGAAATTGTTTTTTTTTTTTGTTTGATGAATGGTATATACCACATGTTCACGTTTTCATATTATTAAAGTTCTGTGTTATTCCTTTTTATTCAAAAATTATTATGTTTTCATGTTCTCGCACGTTTAAAAAAGGCGATTATTTCACTATATATGATGCACATATAGAAATAATTGGTATTCAATAACCCATATTCAAATATAAAATGTGAAACTGAGATCCTGTTTGTGCAGAATTCTTATGACCCGATAACATCAGTAGGCGTACCATATAAAGAGATAAAGGTAGCACCATCAATTATACTAATGGCGGACAAGGCATGGTTCTATGGCTGCAGCTTCATCAGTGTCCAAGACACACTCGCTGACTTAGTCGGCCGCCACTTATTCCAAAACTGTTACATCGAAGGAGCCATCGATTTCATATGGGGAGGAGGCCAGTCTATATACAAAGTAATCTCATATATCTCTATAAATTTTAACTAAATATAGGGATGTTCATTATGATATATGGAAATGAGTTTATATGTGGATGCATGCAGAAATGTTTGATATACGTTAAGGGAATGAAAACAAATAAAATGAAGGATTACGAAGGAGGAATATTACCAGGATTCATTACAGCTCAAGGGAGGGCAAGTGAGCAAGACACAAGTGGATTTGTGTTCAAATATTGCGTGATTACAGGAGATGGTATGGCATCTTTGGGAAGAGCTTACAGAGGCTACTCTAGAGTTTTGTTTTATAAAACAAGCATGTCCAATATTATTGTTCCTCAAGGATGGGATGCTTGGTTCTATAAAGGCCAAGAGTAAGTATTCTTCTTCTCTTTTACTTCTCTATATATTTATCTGGTTCTCGATCTCATCGGTCTCCTAATACAACTATTGGATTGCAAACAGGGATAAAATTACATTTGCGGAGGTAGGTTGCATAGGAGAAGGAGCAAATAAGCAAGGAAGAGTTGGATGGGAGAAGAGCCTTTCTGCTAAGGATGTTGCTTTTCTTACAAGCACTAGAAAATTCATTGATGGAGATGGTTGGATGGCCACTCTTCCTTCTTCTCTCGTCTCTTTAGATTCACCCTTTCCGATTTATTATTAAGAAGTCCATAATTTTGGTATTACTTTTTTATATTATATTGTGGGAATAGTTAATGTATTTTACTTCTTACGAAAATTTAATTTATTTATTGATCAACTAGAATTTAATCTGACATGGGCATGATATTTTAAAATTGTCATTTTGTGAAATACGAAATAACCTTTTTTCTCTAGTACATATTCATCATCCGGCCCGGAACAAACCAAAATTGGGCCCTGTGCAAAAGTAAAGAACAAAGAAATTTAGTGATGTAATTTGTAACATTTAAATTTTGGATTTTTTATTATAAATTTTTAAAAATTAGGATCTTCAAAATACAATAAAAATTTTCAGAAAATAAGTGAACCTAGTGCAAATGCACTCCTTGCACATGCCATGAGCCGGGCATGTTCATCATTTCCCAGCGGAAAAAGAATTTGCAAGAAGGTTGAGATGGAAGAAGGAAGGCCTATCTTTTAGGTGACTCAGTCTTGGTTCGGAAGATATGCAGAGACAGAGTAGGTTATGGTTTAGGACTCCTAACTTTCCAAGTTTTGGTGGGACATATTTTGATTTAGACTAATATAGTTTGGTAGGTTAAAAATATTTAAACTCATAGTTTTCTTAAATAAATTTTATTTATTAAAATATTTTTTGATATAATAAATAATATTTTTAAAAATTGTAAAATTTGTTATTTACAAAAGTCCATTTTTTTTCTTAACTAGAACAACATTTCCGTTGGACGGAGGAGGCTGACCGTGACCGGTGGTTTTTTATGGGTGGTTTAAGTGAAGGTTTATGGCCAAAGTAGAAACAAATGTAACCAACATAAGTTGTGTATTAAGAAAATCAGAGGACCAAATCTAATAATCACAATTTTATTATTTTAGACGTTCCTTTTGTTTGTAATGCAGATGAGGAAGGGATAGCAAAGTATGGTTGTGATCAACTGCTCGATAGAGCTCATAAAAAAATTCTCTTGTTGATTCGCATTGATTTTCTGACATCTTTTAAATTTTGTGTTGCAATTCAAAAGAGTATAAGAAAATTTGTGTGTTTACAATAATTTTATCAACTTTCTATACGCTTATGTAACTGTCTGATATTTGTGAATAGAAGTTCAAGATTATTTATCTTCTTGGATCGACCTTTTAGCTCCAAACAGATTGATTTGAACTTTGACTACTGTATTTGGTTTTTTACATGAGTCCAAATTTGTATATACATATTTACATGTTTGGGATGGTTGGACTTACATGATTCCAAATATTATCATATTTTCTAAAAGAAACCAAATTAGTTAATATTTTCTTAGACAATTTTAATATTCTGTTACTTGTACAATTAACAACATATATATATATATATATATATATAAGTGTAAAAGTTATATTTTGTGTTGAATAGTGACATATGATTTTAAAAGGTTTTACCAACTTGCAAAAAAAATTATTAATGGGAGTTGTTTTTTTTTTAAGAAAACTCTTGATTATTACTAATTTTTTCTTTCACTTCCTTGTACATTTTCATTAATGCAATTTCCAATGACATATAAATCTTATCTTAAAAAAAAGGCAAGTACAACCAAATAAATTATTTTAGTCAAAATATATTAGTCCTTGCGGCATGGCACATTTAATGCAGAGATATTATATATACATAAGATAACAACTACCATCAAATATATATTTCTAAGCATAAAAACAATAAATAAATAAAGGGAGAACAAATGGACCGTTGTCATAATGGTGTTCTTTTTGGTGGTGATGCCTACCATTCGAGAAGATTCAATTCATAACGCCCCGACCGCCCCTCCCGGTGAGTCACCCACTCCCTCTCACTGGACCCGCAATCATGCACTTACCTCGAAAAGGGATTGAAAAGGGATAAGAGAGATGGTGATGAACAACGATTAACGGCATTTGGATCTGACCCAAAAACTCCAAAATCTCTCCAAATCTCCTCTCCTTCTTCTCTGTTACTGTTCACCCACGAAAATCACAAAAAGTTGGCACCTCCTCACTTTTATTTCACAAACTAGGGCTTTCTCCACTAAACCGGCCCAAACCAAATCACTTAAATTGAACCGGAAATCAATTTTCAATTACTTGGTTTGCGGATGTTACAACTCTCCCCCACTAAACTGGATTTGACCTCGAATCCTAACAAACACGTCATGAAGACCGTAAAACATCGACCTCGGAAGACCATAACATCAAATCTAAGCTATAAGCACATTTCAAGACATTTTCCACTCCCAAACCAATCATCACTTAAATTGAACACACCACTTTTTGGTTTATGGATGTTACAACTCTCCCCCACTAAAGTCTCACTCGAATCCGCACAAAGACCCACCGACCGCAAGGACGCAACCGAGATCCTCACCTGATCCCCGAGACAAACGTCAAATCTATGTCATAAGCACGTTCCAAGAATTTTCACTCCTAACTCATCATCCCAAACACACAAACCACTTGTACTGAGGCCCACTTGCACCCAGACAAGTCCACACCGGTCCGCACTGAGGCCCACTTGACGACCCAAACATAACCCGAAATAAACTGCTTATACTGAGGCCTACTTGCACCCAGATAAGCTACACTCAACTGAGGCCTACTTGCACCCAGAGAGTCTGCCAGAGAACGAAGTCTCCAAAAACATGATGAGTTATTCAGGATCGCAATCCTTAGAGTAAAAATTCCGGAAAATGTCTATAACATAAGATTAGACCGTCTCACAACCAAAACTGGTCAAACATGTGTAACATCCGAATACCATTTCACAACACAAGGCAAAATGAGGAAAAACTGCATCTCATTAAAACTCCAAAATGTATATCGTTACAACGAAAACGAAAATACAATAACACCAAAGCCAAAAATAACAACTGAGGCTACAAAGATGAAATAAGCTCACTCCTCGACCTGCTTGTCGAACCACTTCCTGAACTTCAACTTCATCTTTGCCTCTGGCTCCCAAGTCTCCTCTGTAGAACCACTGCAATCCCACAAAATCCTCAGTAAGGGAATCCTCTTGTTCCTCAGAACCTTTTCCCTCCTCTCTAAAATCCTCACAGGCACTGCCGGCACTGTCAAATCTGGCTGAAGATCCTCTGGAATCCTAGCCACTAACTCCTCTGTAGGGTGAAGACACTTCCTCAGCATCGACACATGAAAAACCTTGTGAAAGGCTTTCATAATCTCAGGCAACTCCAGCCTGTAAGCCAATGGCCCAACTCGCTCCACTACTGGAAACGGACCCATAAAACGCGGACTCAGCTTGTTCTCTGCTATGGATCTGTTAGGACCCCTCAACATAGCCATCTTGAGATAAACTCTATCTCCCACCTGAAACTCAAGCTCTCGTCTGCGTCTATCTGCATAACTCTTCTGCCTATCCTGAGCCTCCTTCATGTTCAGCCTCACAACACGACCTTCTCTGTCGTCTCCTGAACATAAGTAGCTCCATACATGCTGCGCTCCCCCACTTGGGTCCAGCATAGGGGTGTCCTACATGGCCTCCCATACAAAGCCTCAAATGGAGCCATGCCAATACTCGCCTGAAAGCTGTTGTTGTATGCAAACTCAACTAAGCTCAGGTGATCTGCCCAATGGCCACCCCAATCCAACACACACATCCTCAGCAAATCCTCCAAAGTCTGAATAGTCCTCTCTGACTGACCATCTGTCTGCGGATGATAAGCTGTACTCAAATGCACCTTAGTGCCCATCTCTGCCTGAAACGCCCTCCAAAACTCTGAAGTGAATCTGGGATCACGGTCTGACACAATACTAGCTGGCACTCCATGCAGCCTCACAATCTCTCGCACAAACTTCCTAGCCAAGACAGCAGCTCCATCTGTCTTCTTGATGGCCAAGAAATGTGCGGACTTAGTCAACCGATCCACAATCACCCAAATAGCATCGAAAGTCCTCGAAACAGGTAGTCCAACCACGAAATCCATCGTAATCCTGTCCCACTTCCACTCTGGAATGGGTAAACTCTGCAAAAGACCACCCGGAACCTGATGCTCTGCCTTCACCAAGGCACAAGTGTTGCACTTCGCAACCCAGTCTGCTACATCCCTCTTCATCCCGACCCAATGATAGTACCTCTTGAGGTCATGGTACATCTTGGTCGCTCCTGGATGAATGGAAAACTTGCTCGCATGAGCCTCTCCCAAAATCTGATGTCTCAACTCCACATCCTTAGGCACACAAACTCGCCCACGAACCAAGATAGTCCCATTCGCAGAGACCTCATACTCAGAACCAGTCACTCTCGTCGCATCCAGCAAACTCTGATCACTCTGCTGAGCAACTCTGATCCTGCTAAGTAGATCCGCCTGATCCACTGCCTCTAAACCCAAAGGCTCCTGCGAAATGGCACACAAACGCAAGGTACTGATCTCGCCAACTAGAGACTCCACATCTCGCTCAACTGCGGAATCATACCTCCGTCTACTCAACGCGTCCGCCACTAGGTTAGCCTTGCCCGGATGGTAGTTAATGCTCACCTGATAGTCCGCCAAGAACTCAACCCAGCGCGTCTGTCTCGCGTTCATCATCGGCTGAGTGAAGATATGCTGCAAACTCTTGTGATCCGTGAAGACCTGTACTGTCTCACCAGCAAGTAAGACCTCCAAATCTTCAACGCGAAGATCACTGCTCCAAATCTTCAACGCGAAGATCACTGCTCCCAACTCTAGCACGGCCCAAAGTAGACAAGAATCCACCTTCCGCCACCTTGACCATGCATGCGCTCTCGCTAGCGCTACTGCGGATGCCACTCTTCTCGGCACGCTCCAGTGTAATGAAGCAATTCGATGCTCCAGAATCAAACAACACATGGGACTCAAAACCGCCCACTAACAAGGTCCCTACACATTCAATTGCGTTGAAAACCTCCACAAATATTATCACAGACAAAAATGGCTAACAGACAACAACACAACAACAAATTGTATACTAAGAATTTACAAAGTCTGTGTCCAAGATTTACCTGTGATCTGCCCAGTCTGACTAGTTCCGCCAGTTTCCACTGAAGAATAGCCCCGCGGCGCCGATGCAATCTGACCCAACGACTGCGCCGCTGCAATCTGGCTCACTGGCTGAGCTGCTACTGGCTGAACTGAAGCCACTGACATACTCCACAACTTAGGACACATGGGCTTGATAAGCTCACCCTCTTGGGATAACTCGAACCACGAGGAAACTGACTAACTCCAGAAGTCTCCTCTCTGCTCCTCTTCTGGCCCTGCGCAGGTAAACCGCCCATGCCAGAACCAGAACTGAAACTCGAACCACCTCTGCGCTGCTGCTGCTGACTCTGAGGCTGGATAGCATGAGCAACTGCAGACGACACAACTATCGGACAAGTCTCCTCACGCTGATCACCCTCGATCGAAGATGCCAACTCAACTAGGCCCGCACCCTCGTCGTGTACATACCACCTCTGCACTGAGTCCTGACACTCTTCCAAAGCCCCTCAAGGAATCGGTTCATCAACTGATACTCATCCTCCATGCCCATGCCGGCATGCACCAACAGTCTGCTGAACTCAGCGTCATACTCGCGCACTGTACGATCTCCCTGCGAAATCGATGTGACACGCATACGAAGACGATCCCGCGCCTCTCTAGGGAAGTACTTGGCGTTGAATTCCGCAAGGAACTCGTCCTAAGTACAAACTGCCCTCCGAACCACCGTGGACTGCCACCACAAATGAGCTTCACCACTCAGGTAGTGAACCGCTAACTCAACCTAATACTCCTGCAGACATCGAATAGACTGGAAATTTTGCTCCAATTAATCTCTGACGCCAGTCCTCTGCTGCCTCTAGGCTAACTCCGCCCGCAAAGTACGGCGTACCCATCATCTGCATGTGTCCCACCATATCCAAATAGGACGGCACAACCACACCCGCAGCCTGCAGCTGAATAAAATCCGCAGCCCCCTGCTGCACCTGTGCCACTGGAGGTACTCCCGGAGCCCCCTGTGGAACCACTGGCAGAAAATGATCCAATAGCTGCGTCAGCAAACCCACCACCAAGTCATCACGACCCTGAGCAGGAGCAGCACCCACAACTGGAGCCGCCCCATCTCCCACGCTCACACTAGCATCCACATTGGCCTCACTCGCCAAAGAATGGGTCACATACGCAGTCGCCATGCTCGGGGCCACACTCTCTCTCGAATCCGCCTGAAGTCCACGACCTCGGCCCCGGCCTCCACAGAGTCTAGCTCTCCCACAACAGCCTCGAGCACCGCGCCCTCTCGCGCCACGACCTCTAGGAGCCCCGTCCATCTCACTGCATGGACCCAAACATGAGAAACTAGAACAATAAACAAAACAAACAACCATAAAAACTCACCGCAGAATCCCTTGTAGCTGAAGGGGATGATACTAAAGTCTAGCAATTCTAACAGTCTTAAAACCGTGTAGGCTCTGATACCAAAATGAAACAACCAACATTTTTTTGTTTTATATATAAATAAATCTTAACAAGTCTAGCGAAGGTTTTTAAAATAAATTAAATAAATAATAATCAAATAACAATAATTCAGCGGAAGCAAAAAATGATTAAATAATTAAATCTAACAAGTTAAACAAGTTCAAATGAAATGAAGCAAAACACATAAATCCTATCATCCCCTCTTCAGTCTTGATTCCGCGATCACACAAATCTTTTACCTGCATCACATTGCGAAAGAGATGCGTAAGTATTAAATACTTAGTGAGACAATCACCCTGCCTACAGACCAATTACGCAATTTACTAACAATTAAATACTAATTATAATTCTCCATAATTAGTAAGTATATTTTCTTAATTATTAACTAATTCTCCATAATTAAATAATAATTTTCCACACTTAAAATAATTTACATAATTATTTTAGACCAATTTAATTAATTAAAATAACCATTAATCTGAATTAAATCGTTAATCAAATTAAACCAATTAAATTCAACTAAACTCAATCAAACCGGATTGAAGTGTCGAGCGTCCCCAGCTTGGTGTCGGTCGTCTCTCGACCACTTGGTGTCGACCGACACCGACTTGACCACTTGGTGTCGACCGACACCGACTCGACAAAACCGATACGGAAACCAATGAAACAGCGCAGAAAACACTAAAAACACCCAATTTCATCACAATAACACCCAAATAGCACGAAAAAACAATCATATCACATGAACTCGTCAAGAACAACACCCAATCATCAAGGATCTAGCAATTCGCGAGCCTACAGTCATGCACACACCTTGACAATTGATTGAAACGAGGAAAAGGAGAAAAAGCAGTGAAGAACAGCCACAAATCACCACAGATTCGCTCAAGACACCTCCAAATCACCACAATTGTAACATCCCGGTTTGTGATAAATGAGGAGAGGCTTAAGAGAATTGATTTGGCTACCTATGTCAACAAAGTGCACTTACCTTTTTGGTCAAAGGTCCATAAGTAACTCCAGAGTTAAGCGTGCTTGGGCTGGAGTAGTGGAAAGATGGGTGACCTTTTGGGAAGTGATTTCCGAAACCGTATGAGTGAGGCCAAAACACGAGGGAAGGTCGGGTGTTGATTGAAAGGATAGTAAACAAGTCATTAGAGGCTCTCAAAAATAACGGACCAGCCGTCAGATAGGGGTGAGGCCCACGGGCCGAGAGGGGCCTGCGGGTCCAGAGAGAGGGCGTGGGTGACTCACCAGGAGGGGCGGTCGGGTCGTTATAACAATCGCCTCTCTTCTTCTTCTCTCAAGTTTCTGAGCCGCCAAAGAAAAAAAGAATGCTGCTCCTCGAGTTTTAACTCAAAAATAGTGTTTCCAGACCCTAAACCGGCCCAAACCGGACTTAAATCTTAAATCGAACCAGAACTGAATTTTAACCATTGGTGTCACCGGGCACCAAAGAAAAATCACAGTTCTTTGGCTAAGGATGTTACATTTTCGAAGATATAACCTATGATAATGTAATAAAATATAAGCATTGTACTGGTTTTTTTAAATCTAAATTTATATATTTTTAGGACTTATGTCTAATTTTGGAATAAAACTTTTGAATATATTATATATTTCTTAAGAACATCTGATTTTAAAAAATATTAAGTAATCAATATAAACAATGAAAAACATAACTCATATATTAAGTAAGACATTTTATATTAAGATAACTATTTTCTTCTCTATCCATCAATATCAGTACAATATATTGAGCAGAAGAATTGTTCGCCGTAGTCTATTTATGTACGATTTTTTTCCTTACACAATTGTTGTTTCTCCAAGAATGTTTAGAACTTAGAATGCCTAGTTGATTCATCGCACATGCGTAGTCCAAAATAAGATGTTAATCTAGTTATATAGTCGGATGAAGATTTATGTAATTTCACGAATATGTAAAAAATATTTACGAAGGAAAAAATTAAAGGAAATAAATTCCATTGTTTAGATCTGGTGTTAATTACAAATCAAAATTCAACAATAGATTAGTTAACAAAATCTTAACAAAGACAAATATAGTAGAATAATTGTAACTCAATTGCACTCGATAGAGCTCATAAAAAAAATTCTCTTATTGATTCACAATTATTTTCTAACATTTTTTAAAATTTCTGTGTAGCAACTCAAAAGAGAACAAGAAAATTTGTGTGTTTACAATAATTTTATCAATTTAGTTGTGATCTATGCGCTTATGTAACTGATATTTGTGAATAGAAGTTCAAGACTATTTACTTTTTTTTTATGCCCTTTGACTTCCAAACAAGTTGATTTGAACTTTGACTACTGTATTTGGTTTCTTACATGAGTCCAAATTTGTACATACATGTTTACACATTTAGGATGGTTGGACTTACATGATTCCATATATTATTATATTTCCAAAAGAAACCTAATTAGTTAATAGTTTCTTAGACAATTTTAATATTCTGTTATTTGTTTGTTAAATCTTGGAAAGCCAATTTTTTTAACTAATACATAGTGTAATTAACAACATATATACAAGTGTAAAAGTTATATTGTGTGTTGAATAGTGACTTATGATTGTAAAAGGTTTTACTAACTTGCAAAAAAGTTATCAATGGGAGTTGTTTTTTTTTAAGAAAACTCTTGATTATTACTAATTTTTTATTTGACTTCTTTGTACATTCTCATTAATACAATTTCCAATTACGTATAAATCTTATCATTAAGAAAAAGGCAAGTACAACCAAATAATTTTTTTTAGTCAAAATATATTAGTCCTGACGTGGCACATTTAATGCGGAGATACTATATATACATATGATGCCAACTTTCACCAAATATACATTTCTAAGCATAAAAACAATAAATAAATAAATGGAGAACAAATGGACCGTTGTCATAATGGTGTTCTTTTTGGTGGTGATGCCTACCATTCGAGGAGATTCAATTGGATCGCCTCTACGTGAAGAAAAACCAATTATCATATGTTTAATAAAATGTCAACGCTATTGCAGAACAAGCATTGGTTTTACTTGCCTACCTAATTGTATCAGAGAGCATTGCATGCGTCGGCCACCACCGCACCCACAACTTTCACGGTCGCAGTAAATCACTAAATTTATCTTTGTCTTTACATAATATATATTGTATAGAGTAAGTACTGACATTGTTTTATTGTGATAAATAATACAGGATGGAGATTACAAGAATGCAATAAATGAGAAACTAGAGAGTATTTATGAATCTGTTATAATTGAAGTTTTACATTTTTCTTATATGTAAAGAAAATTTTACAATAAGATGAATACTAAATTTTTTATTACAGATATATAAAAAAACAGATGAAAAAATATTACAGTAGAAACTCTATAAATCATGTTAATATCATAAATTAATAACTTCCATAAACAAGTAATTTTCGAAGATATAACCTATGATAATGGAATAAAATAAGTATAGTACTGTTTTTTTAATCTAAGTTTATATATTTTTAGGACTTATAATCTAATTTTAGAATAAAACTTTCGAAAATATTATATATTTCCTAAGAACATCTGATTTTTTAAATTATTTTTTAGCAAAAAATTATTTTTAGTCAAAACAGATTATTTAATGAATTTATAAATTTATAACATATCAAAATATAATTTAAAAAAAAAAATCAGAAAGCTATCTGATTGAATACAATTGATGATATGAGCATGAATTCACATGATTTCGAAAGTTTACAAATGAAAAGAAATCTCATTCATAAGAAACATAGATTATGATGTTGAATTTATCATTATGACGATTTTTTATTTATTCTTCGTAATACAAACTAAGTCAAACGAATGTTTAAGATCATAATTGGATAGCATAATCCATGAATCTTTAGTAATATATGTCTTTGATTAATAATTTCTGTAATTTTAGATCCTTTCATAAAAATAAAGTTGGATAACATAATCAATATAAACAATGAAAAACATAAATCATATATTAAGTAATACATTTTATATTAGGATAATTGTTTTCTTCTCTATCCATCAATATCAGTACAATATATTGAGCAGAAGAATTGTTCGCCGTAGTCTATTTATGTAGGATTTTTTTCCTTACAAAATTGTTGTTTCTCCAAGAATGTTTAGAACTTAGAATGCCTAGTTGATTCATCGCAAATGCGTAGTCCAAAATAAAATGTTAATCTAGTTATATAGTCGGATGAAGATTTATGTAATTTCACGAATATGTAAACAATATTTACAAAGGAAATAAATTCCATTGTTTAGATCTTATGTTAATTACAAATCAAAAGTTCAAACAATAGATTAGTTAACAAAATCTTAACAAAGATAATTATAGTAGTTTTTCCAAGAGATGAAAATAATTATAACTCAATTGCACTCGATAGAGCTCATAAAAAAAATTCTCTTATTGATTCACAATTATTTTCTAACATTTTTTAAAATTTCTGTGTAGCAACTCAAAAGAGAACAAGAAAATTTGTGTGTTTGCAATAATTTTATCAATTTAGTTGTGATCTATGGGCTTATGTAACTGATATTTGTGAATAGAAGTTCAAGACTATTTACTTTTTTTTTATGCCCTTTGACTTCCAAACAAGTTGATTTGAACTTTGACTACTGTATTTAGTTTCTTACATGAGTCCAAATTTGTACATACATGTTTACACATTTAGGATGGTTGGACTTACATGATTCCATATATTATCATATTTCCCAAAAGAAACCTAATTAGTTAATAGTTTCTTAGACAATTTTAATATTCTGTTATTTGTTTGTTAAATCTTGGAAAGCCAATTTTTTTAACTAATACATAGTGTAATTAACAACATATATAC